CTAAGTATTAGTACAAGTAAATAGACGCGTGGACAATCAATAAACAGCTGGAAAGAACAATTGTAGCGACAGAGTTGTGGTTCATAAGACGCATGCTACGTATCCCATGGACAGCTAGAAAAACAAATGAAGAAGTCCTGGTTGAAGCAAATTATAGAAAACAATTTATCACGAATATAAGAAAACGACAGGCAAATTTCTTCGGATCCACAATACGGAAAGAAGCATTAGAAAATATTGTAACAACAGGAAAGTTTGATGGAAAGAGAGGCAGAGGCAGACAGAGGAAAAAGATACTGGACAAGATGACAACATGGCTGGGAGCAGCAAGAACAACAGACACCATTGCTGCAACTCAAGGCAGATGGAAGTGGAGGTCCATGATCGCCCACGCCAGTCGGCAAGGCACCGGATGATGATGAAATGGGTCCTATCAAGTGTAACTGGCGTCAGCACACAGAGAACATCTGACACGTGGGACAGTTGAGTGCACACACGAGCTTCGAAATCAAACGAGTGTGCTCACCACTTAAGCCATTACATTCCCGCTGCCATCTGCCTGAACGATCGTAGGAGAGGAGGCATTTAAAGTCTGGGAAATGTCAAAGAGTGACCTCTACCCCCCCCTCCCCCCTCCCCCCTTTCACAAATGCACATTTACACACTTGTGAGTAGGTTTGGGACGAGAGGGGGGGGATAATAAATAGATCAACTGCGCCGTAGGGGATGAAACCAGTTCCAAATCAAATGAGTTTTTGTTTCTTTTATTTTTGGCTTCTTTTTTTTAGGTTTATGTGTTTTTACGCTGTCATTCCAACTGTTTAGATAATTCAGGAGGCGGGTGTCGACCGTGCCACTCAAGGCTAGCTCAGGATGAGAGGGATACAACAATCCGGTAGAAAGACCAACTAAGGTTCTTGATAAAGATTTCCCACACATGGGAATCGAACTGGGGTCTTCTTTGTGCTTCCCACAGGACCAAACCAGTAACCAGTATCGTTCTTCTTCCAGAGTTGACCAAGGTTATATAATATAGTCCAGTACCGCTCTCTGTTAGTTGTAATACTTACCCTAGTACTTATCTTTTTCAACAGTTGACCACTATTATATAATACTTACCTAGTACTTATCTTTTTCAACAGTTGACCACTGTTATATAATACTTACCCTAGTACTGATCTTTTTCAACAGTTGACCACTGTTATATAATACTTACCCTAGTACTTATCTTTTTCAACTGTTGACCACTGTTATATAATACTTACCCTAGTACTTATCTTTTTCAACGGTTGACCACTGTTATATAATACTTACCCTAGTACTCATCTTTTTCAACGGTTGACCACTGTTATATAATACTTACCCTAGTACTGATCTTTTTCAACAGTTGACCACTATTATATAATACTTAGTCCAGTACCGCTCTCTGTTAGTTGTGATACCTACCCTAGTACCTCTCTTTTTCAACAGTTGGCCACTGAGATGGAAATACTTAGTCCAGTACCTCTCTCTAATATATGACCACTGTTATATATATTACTTAGCCCAGTACTGCTCTCCAATAGTTGACCACTGTTATATATAATACTTAGCCCAGTACCGCTATCCAATAGTTGACCACTGTTATATATAATACTTAGCCCAGTACCGCTATCCAATAGTTGACCACTGTTATATATAATACTTAGCCCAGTACCGCTATCCAATAGTTGACCACTGTTATATATAATACTTAGCCCAGTACTGATCTTTCTCAACATTTGCCAACTGTGATGTAATACATAGCCCAGTACATCTCTCCAACAGTTGACCACTGTAATAATAATAATAATAATAGATAGCATTTGTATAGCGCAAACCCCGCTCAACAGCAGGCTCTATGCGCTTTACACTATATTATTACCCCAGCAGACCATAGAACACTCCGAAACATTCTCAGCTTCCTGGGAAGCATACAACTGTACCCGACGTTGTGTCCATGGGAAAGGCACTTTGCACGAATTTCTCACAAGGCTCGGTCCTTTCAGAGACGGACGTTAAACTCGGAGGCCCGCCTCTTAAATAACCTAATAGTGTTGATAGGGGCGTAAAACCTATACCATTTAATGTTTAATAGTAATAAATAATGTATAACATTTATACAGCGCATTTCCAAAAAGGTAGCTCAACGCGCTTTACATTGGAATACCCATTTTTCAAAACCCTTTCTTACTACTTCCTTTCTTCTCATGCAATATACTCGTACATTATTGCACAATCACGCACACACACACACACACACACACACACACACACACACACACACACACACACACACACACTCAGAGAGAAAGAGAGAGAGAGAGAGAGAGAGAGAGAGAGAGAGAGAGAGAGAGAGAGAGAGAGAGAGAGAGAGAGAGAGACTATTTTCATCCAGACCTTGGAACAGAACAACTATAATGAAAAATAAACATTTTGACCACTGTGATGTAATACATAGTCCAGTGCCGCTCTATGTCAAATCAGCAGCTGACTAACTGTTTTATCAGTCAGTTGTAGACAATGAACGTAAGAGAAACACAGTTAAATGTAAGGCAGCGTAGTGGAATCAAGCTCTCGTCGAAATAATGAAAGTGAAGAAACTTGCATTTTTCCGCAGGTTTGTGAATTTTTATCAAATCTTTATTGTTTTGCTCAACATCTTTCATGCCCTTTCAAGAACTCATTTTTGAGTGGATTTTTCTGAAAAACATTGGTTAAAGGCACAAAAATGTAAATTTTCAGTTACAATTGATGCTTGTGGTTCCTACACGCAAATTGCAACAGTCCACTAAAAGGGCATGCCAGTAAATGTCATGCTCTCTCTCTCTCTCTCTCTCTCTCTCTCTCTCTCTCTCTCTCTCTCTCTCTCTCTCTCTCTCTCTCTCTCTCTCTCTCTCTCTCTCTCTGTCTTGTTTACTGAAGGCAAATAAGGGGCAGGGAGTGGGTGGGAGAGAGAGAGAGAAAGAGAGAGAGAGAGAGAGAGAGAGAGAGAGAGAGAGAGAAAGAAAGAGAGAGAGAGACAGAAAGAGAGAGGGGGGAAGAGAAGAGGGAGAGAAAGGGGAGAGAGAGGGACAGTGAGACAGAAGAGAGAATAGAGAGAGAAAGAGAGAAAGAGAGAGAAAGAGAGAGGGGAGGGGGGGAGAGAAAAGTGAGAGAGAGGGAGAGAAAGAGAGAGCGAGAGAGGAGAGAGAGAGAGAGAAAGAGAGAGAGAGAGAGAGAGAGAGAGTAGTCAGGGGGGATAATTACTTGAGCATTACATTTTCTGTCAATTTGAGTGTTATGATAACGATTAAGCATAACATTATTATTACTAAGGTCAGTGTGAGGTTCCCATGAAATTGTTCACTTCCTCTGTCTACTGTGAGTATTTTCTACCCAGAGACAAAATAATTATCGTCAGTATCTGTTCACATAATGTACGTAGCCCAAATTGTTGTTCTCATTTTTAATTGCAGCTTGTGTATCTATGAAATCGGTTGTATGTGCAGGACAAATCATTATAATTTTGGCAAAGTTTATTTGTAAAAGAAATTCTATATGTTAAAAATAAAAACCGAGAAAGATACATTAAGTACGTACATTTACGGAAAGAATCAAACAGTTGAGGTGTGTAATGTTTAGCAATATTACGGACATTGGAACTCTTCCCCATAGTTTTCTCCTAAGACATTGACCAATCAAGGACGGTACAAAGAAGAAAAGATGTCAGTCACCAAAGGAGCACATTGCTTTTATTGTGTCTAAATTGTTGTTGTTGTTGTTGATGTTGTTGTTGTTGTTGTCGTTGTTGTTGATATTGTTGTTGTTTTAGAACATGGATAAAACGCCTCCCAAACTCCGGACATGGTTCTTCCAGCTAACATCAGAATCTATAAGATGTTGCAGCTAGTCATGGACCAAGTCTCGCACAAACAATCGGGATATAATGTGCTATGCCATGTATGTAATACTTACCTTCTGTGTCATGTATAAACATGATAAACAGCAATATAAACGACACATCACACTCCCTCTCCACACAGATTGTAACATCACACTACGGCAAATATATATAATATATGTACATGTACATGCTGAAAACAAAAATAGAAAGAAACAAAAGAAGTTTTTCACCATCTGTTATAATTATATGGCTCCTGTTAGAATAAACATATGGATCTACGTGTATTGCTTTCTCGAGTATGTATCTAAAGCCGACCTCACACCTTTAGCCAGTAGCCATTGGTGGCGGGGAATGGGCAACGTGAACCCTACCGGAATTAATAATAATAATAATAATAATAATAATAATAATAATAATAATAATAATAATAATAATAATAAATAGCATTTGTATAGCGCATATCCCCACTCAACAGCAGGCCCTATGCGCTTTACACTATATTATTACCCCAGCAGACCATAGAACACTCAGAAACATTCTCAGCTTCCCGGGAAGCATACAGTGCAAGCAGCTGATAAAGCGCTCATACACTAACAAACTGACAAGATCTTTCGCTGTCTATAGCCGGGTACCCATTCCCACCTGGGTGAAGTGGGGAACATTCGTGTAAGGTGCCTTTCCCAAGGACACAACGTCGGGCCCTTGCCGGGATTCGAACCCACGACCTTACGGTTGCGAGTTCGAGAGCCTAACCACTAGGCCACCGACGCCACTTACACGGTCACAGGGCAGTTAGGTCATCCAGCCTCATAAAAACTCCTAGAACCCTCCTGTCCTCAACATGGTTGGCCCCTTCTCAGGGTGGGCAGGCAGTCCACAGACACCCCAGTCCACAACACCAACCCCACACCTGCAATCCGAACTGACATTTCTACTTGACGCAAGCCGATTGGTCCATTCGTATTGTAGGTGTGTGTGTGTGTGTGTGTGTGTGTGTGTGTGTATGTGTGTGTGTGATTTCTTGGAGTTTGGCGAAAGCAAATTGGCTCCAATCGGCTTGGCAGGAAAATGACCAAGTTTTGTTTGATTTCTT